CAAAACAATTCAGGCAATTCTTTTAAAGTATTTTTTTGGTAATATAATTTAATCTATATCAGCATTTGTTTTATTTCTAAAGTTAGTATAATTTTTTTTCCTCTTTTATATAATTTCAAAAATGTGCAAAATGAGACATTGTTAGGGTTAGTTGCACTTATGGAAAACAAAAGTAAGAGAATGATGAACACAAAATTGAGGATGGTGGTTATTTCTGAAGAGGTTACGGAAGGGGATATCTTTGTGGTATGCCGTACAGGGGCTGCAAAGATGGTAGAAATTTTCTGTTTCTTTAGCTGGGTGGTAGGTAATTCAGATAATTCATTTTATTGTTATTTATAGCTTCCACATGACATAAATATGCTTTTGTATGAATTAAATATTTAACAAGAATTGGGTCTGTTACTATTGCTTTATTAATATTCTTTGGTTGGCTCACATTTTATCACGTGGTTTCTAATGTTTAGAAAACTATCTTGAAGATTTTAATTAGTAATAGTTTATTTTAATAAGTTTTTCCAGCCAGGAGAGGATAGAGGTCATATATTTTATTTCTCCAATTAAGGTTTTATTTTCTTTGAATAAATATTATCGTGGCCCAAGTACCTCCCAGAATTTGACTTAATGCATGTATTACTATTGTGAGTGGATACTTTTCCCTGTGTTTTTGATCTGCGGCACTGGCTTGCATGCTAAAACTCATTGATTTCCTCCAGCAACTGCGCCCACTTGCTTTGGTTTTCCAGGTGGGCAAATACATTATTAGCAATGTAATATTTTATTCATTGACTATATGTTATTCCAAAGTTAGTATAATTTTAAAAAATGCATTTTTTTGATTTACAGGTCCCTCCTTGTGGTCCATTTCTGGGCACCATGGGCTCCCCAGTGCACACAGATGAACGACGTAATGGTGGAGTTAGCGAAAGAACACCCTCAAGTTTCATTTGTGAAGGTATGATATTCTCAGTGTCATGTCTTTTATGAATTTAATTCTGACTTATGGGTTAGATTAGATTTTATTAACTAATATGAAGGAGGCGTGGTGTGGAATTCCCAATTTTTATAATTGGCGTTGGGTTCTGTTAGTTTTGCAGTAGTTTATTCTCAAGACTCTTAAAATGACGTTGCATTTCTCAAGTACACTTTGCCTCACCCATCCTTGAGGACGTGAGTGCCAGGTGTGGGGGGTGCTGTGGCAGGGTGTTGGAGATGTGGACTAGATAATTCACTGGGAAATTGTGGTTTTAAGATAACTAAAATAGAGACAAAACTTACGTCACTGAAAAGCTAGGTGTTACGTAGAAAATGATCCAAGAAAGGGTATGTCAAGGTTGCTGGGGACCAGGGGAACAGGAGGAAGTTGCTGTCTTGGATTGGGCGAATGCAAGCCAATGAGAGAAGCTGGAAGGCTTTCTAACCTGTTAGGGTGCAGAGGAAGAGGGAAGCCAAACGGTCTCTTCTTCCTTGCCTCCTTCAATTTTTGCTCCTCATTTCCGGTGTCTCTTTTGAGTGTATGAGCACTAGGAAGGTGACAGTCCTGACATGGGTCAGCTCACTTGGTTTAACACATTCAAGTTGTCATTCAGAACTTAGTACTGGTTTAGGCAGCAGGGCCGAAATATGTGTTGAGAGTCTTAGAAATGAATTATTAGGAAGGAAGGCACACTTTGTGTTCAAAACCCTGAATCCTTAGGATTCAAAAACTATAAAAAACCAAAGTCTTGTTTTTTAAAACCAGAATTTTTGAGTTCAGAATACATGTTTGCCAGTATACCCATATATATAGGGTTAAAAATAACATCAACTATATTTGTCTATATGCTTCTTTTTATGTAAACTGAAAACACAGAATTCTGACAGGCTAATTCATTTGTACAGTAGGTGGTAAAATTTTCAGACAGCTTCTGCGTAGATAAGTTTGCTTTGAGCAGGTATTGTACTCAGATGGTTCAAAAATCCAAACGGTATAGAAAGGTGTACATTGAGAAGGCTCACCCCACTCTTCCCTGTCAACCCTGTTGTCTCATCCCATAAGTAACCACGTGTATTAATTTTGTATGAATCCTTCCAGTGTTTCTTTATGCAGATAGAGCATATATGAATATAATAGTTAGCTTTTTAAAATTTAAGGACTTATTTAAAATTCCAATGAAATGTGTAATGTAACCTTAGAATGTAACCCTAAAATGTCCAGTATAAATAATAGAAGGGGACATTAAAACTGCATGTTTGGTCAGTGATAAAAGATAATGATTACAAGTGAAATGAATGATTAAACATTTCAATCGTAGGATTAATCAAGATGATGGTAATTGTTCTGAGTCTGCCTTGATATGTATAATGTTACTGGTTTAGGTAACACATTGTTCTTAGCTGCCATCTGAATGATTTATTTAAGGTGATTATAGAATTACTTCTCACACTGGTACCAGACTTGGCAGTGAGATTTAAGGTTGTTCAAGTGCTTAGGTGTCTCAGTGAGCCAGGGTTGGAGAAGTCCTTAGTCCTGTCAGGTTGTTGGGGAGAAGGGAGCCTGGCTGCACCTGCTGTCCGTGTGGATGACAGTGCGAGATGGGTCGTTCTTCTAGGAGTCATCGCTTTCCAGAAATTCATGCTACGGCATAGGTTTTCTTGCAGTCGACTTCATCGAGGGGAAAGATAGTTTGCATGGATTTGGTAAGGTAGATAATTAAAGGCGCTCACTGAACGATAGTGAGCAAATGAGAAGTAAAATATTTGAGAGATCATTGGCCTTGCTCAGTAAGAGAGGCATGCAGTTCATTTTAAAATAGCGTTCTTTTGCTATTGAGAGCTTTTCAAAATTTCTGGAGTGTGGAACTAATGTTCTACTCTTGATTTCTTGGTCTTTTTTTAATGATGCAATAGTTTGGTATTTTCAAATTGTGAAATAAAGGGATAAGTGTATTTTTGTGGCTGAGATTTACAAAATCATTTAAACAAGTGATCTTAAACTAGATGTTTTTAACAGATTGTAAGGTTTTGTGGCTATCACCAATTTCTTATTTGGTAGGAGATGGTAAAATACCACTTTAGGAAAGTTAGTCACACGTTTTCGGGTCAGAGTAGTTTGTACTCGTTGGAATTGAATGCTGAGAGGCAAGGTTTTCACGATTTTTGCATCTGAGTCTCTCATTCCCTGTACTCATGATGTGGCCGTAAAGTGTATTCATACTCCTTCTGGGTACTGTGTTTGCGATGAGTTCCGCTTACCCGAATCACTGCTGTATCTGGCTGGATCCTGAGGCTCCGGGCCCCATCCTGAGGCTCTCACTAAAAGTCTTATAGAAACCTTATATTTGTTCAGAATAAAATTAAATAGCTAAAATGTCTAGTGCCTTTGCTTTGCAAATTACATAGTCATTTTATTAGTACCTTATCTCATGTTGATCCTGTTTATGTCTTTACCTAAAATAGGAATATGCATTTATCATTTAATTAATTGTTTGATAGAGTCTTTAAAAATACGGTGCCTGGTAGAGAGGGTGGGAAGGAGGGATGGTCTGAGGCTCTGTGGGTAATGAAAAGGCTGGGTTCCTGCCACTGGGTGTATCTGAGAGCCAAATCCAGTCCATTTTACATTAAATCTTTCCTTTTTTTCTTATGGCTTTTTTTTTTTTTTATTTCTGTACTTAGTTTGTACCATTGATTGGGCTATTAGGAAATATCCTGTATTTTTGTTTGTATTGTCATTTAATTCCTGTTTTGATGGCCTTTTGAATAGATGGCGAGATACTTGAGGTAGGGACCTTTACCTGTGGTGTCAGGTGGCTTCTGCCTCCCACGCCAGTCTCCCCAGCCCCACTTCCAGCTTAGTACCCTGATCCTGCTAGGCTGTGGTGCTCATTTTAACACATAATGTGCTTCAGTACAAAAATTCTTAAAGTCAGGCCTGTCAGCCAGCTGGTGGGTGAGATTTCATACTATTGTTTTTAATTTAGTACTAATCTGGTATGTGTAGTAGCTGCTGCACATGTGTTTTGTGTCCACTGTAACTTAAGATATAAGGTCAAGGGTATGGAGGAGTTATGTAGTTAAATTTGTATTTTCGCATCTTAAAAAATAGGAATCTTTGTAGTTTGATTTATTCTTATTCTGAAATGTACAACTATCTTAAGATAGAGTTCATACTGTTTAATATCTAAAGGTCTGTACAATCCATATAAATGAAGCTTAACACTGTTTGATTTCTAAATGTCTGTAATTACCATATGTACACGGGCAATGTTGGCAGTCTCCAGAAGGGTACCAACTAGCTACATAACTAGGTGCAACCTAACTAGCTGAATTCCTGTATTTCAGTGTCAGAGAATATTGACTAGTTTATTTGGCATCTTAGAGAACATATGTTGAATTCTATATTACAGGAATTCTAAAAAATGCCTCTCAGATAATCCTAGTAGAATTATTAAATCTTAAAAATAATATAGCTTTTATTTACACTGTCTTGGTAATAAAAAATTACCACAATTAACATGGTTTATTATCTACTTCTGGGCTAAGTTTGGCAAAAGTCTTAAAAAAATTTATCAAAAATGTTAATTTAAATAACTTTTGAAATTATATTTGGCTATCTGACAAAGAAGAAATTTGATTTTGAAATTCTTTTTTTTTTAATATCACACATCACAGAGTAGAAGGAAGCTTCTTTATGAGGTTTAACCAAATACCCTTGAATGTCAGGCTTAAGTGTTCTCTCCTCAACCTTAGATCCTCAGTGTCACTGTTGGCCAGTGGCCACTCCCATTCTCGGCTTCCTTATAGTGGCCACCTTTGTTTAATATTCTGTCAAAATTTGTTTATTGATCACTAAATGCCACACATTATTCTGGGAACTGAGGTTACAGAACACTAAGGGTCACAGACAATAAATGGGTAAACAGATACGTTACCAAGATCATTTCAGATAGTAATAAGTTCTACAAAAGAAAAAATAGGCTATGAAAGATGGGGACTGGGATGGATGGGGTACTTTATTTAGATTGTGTTGAAAGGCTGTACATAACGAGTTGAAATCTAAAAAATGGAAAGGAGCCAGCTATTGGGAGAGCTGGGAAGAGCTTTTAGGCAAAGGATTAGCAAGTTCAAAGTGTTGGAGGTGCAGGTGGGAGGCTAGTGGGGCTGGAGTGTGGTGAGAGGGAGGAGGGTGTGACGGGAGGTTGGAGTGGCAGGCAAGGGTCAAGTGGCCTTGTGGACCGTGGCAGTGTTCAGGTCTAATTCCCAGTGCAGGGGAAGTGACAGACCGATTCCTGTCTTACATCAGTACTCTGGCTGCTGGGTGGAGAATGTTTTAAAGGGGGGAGGGTGCAGGATGGAAGCAGGGACACCAGTTAGGAGGCTTTTGCTCTAGGCGAGGTAAGAGACAAAATGATGTCGTGGTCTGAGTTGGCTTATATTTTGGAGGGAATCCCAGAAAACCTGTTGACGGATTGGATGTAGGGGGTGAGAGAAATGGATTAATCAAGGTTGTCTCCTTTTTGATTTGAACAACTGGATGGAATTTGTGAGCTAGAGATGCCGTGGGGAGGAGGAGGTTTAGTGGGAGCTCCAGGTGCAAATGTCGAGTGTGTAGTCTGGAGGCAAGGGGAGAGGCCTGGGCCAGGAAGAACTTGGGAGTTGTTGTCATATAGGTATCACTTAGAGCTATGGGATTGGATGAAACTACTCCAGGAGAATGAATGTGGATGAGCTGAGAACAACTCAGGGCCAAGTCCTGGAATTGGCCTGTGTCATAGGGTGGCCAGGGGTGAAGGAAGCAGCCAAAGAGACTGAGTCTGAACAGTTAGGGGAAAAGGAAACATGGAAAGCCAAGTGTTGCAAGAAGGTGGGTGTGGTCACTGTTACTGAATGATACTGAAAGGTCATAAAATGAGGAAAGCAGTAGCCATGGGACTTGCTGAAGTGTCAGCATGGTGTTGGGCCACACTGCCTTGCTCCACCACTCAACAGATTTGTGATTGTCACAGTCCATTTGTGCTACTATAACAGCATGCCTCAGGTTGAGTAGTTAATGAAAAACAGAAGTAGGTTACTTATAGTTCTAGAGGCTAAGCAGTCCAAGATCAGGGCACGAGCAGATTTAGTATCTGGAGAGGGCTCTCTCTCTGCTCCCAAAATGGTGCCTTCTTGCTGTGTCCTCACACGGCAGAAGGAGTGGAAGGGCAAACAGGGAAGAGCTAATTCCCTCTTAGACTCTCTTATCATGGCACTTACCTCTCCCAGAGGCCCCTCTTCCTTGCCATCACTTTGGGGGTTAAGTTCCAACACATTCAAACCATAGCAGTAATCTAGGCCAAGTTACTGAACCTCTTTAAGTTCCAGTTTCTTCTGTAAAATGGGTGTAGTGACAGTACCAATTACTGTGAGGATTAAACGAGTCCATACACGAAACACTTAGAACAGTGTCTGGCCCAGGATAACTCGTAGCTGTCAGCCATTGCTGTCTTGGCAGTCCTGGCGAGCCCTCCACTGAAGCAGAACGGACAGAGGATTCCCACCTCTGCATTCACCTGATGCCTCCCTTGCCCCTCTCGCCCCTTCTTCGTAGACATAGCGTGCCGTGTGGGAAGGTTCCAGAGTTTGAGATTCTTGGAAGCAAGTGGTTTCCTCTAGAGGCATTTTTTCCTGGATTCTGTTCTGGGAACATTCACGTTTGGTTGATCCTTAAGTCATGTATAAATCTTGTCTTTGAAATGTGATCTTTTTTTATTGTAGTAGTAGGAAAAATTAACTATAGTATAGTGAAAGAAGCACAGGTTTTATAGTCAAACAAACTTGTATTTGTTTCTCAGCTCTGCCACTTACTGTGTGTCTTTGGACAAGTGACTTCCTGAATTAGGGTTCTCTAGACAAACAAAGCTGATAGGATACATACAACTGTGAGGAGGGAGTTATTGTGGGAGTTGGCTCATGTGATCATGGAGGTTGAGAAGTGTCACCATCTGCTGTCCACAAGTTGGAGAACCAGGGAAGCTGGTGGCCTAGCCGGTCCAAGTCCGGAGGCCTGAGAACCAAGGGAACCATTGGTGTAACTCTCAGTCCAAGGCCTGAGAACCTGGGCGGGGCACTGGTCCAAGTCTTGGAGTCCAAATGCTGGAAAACCTGGAGTTCTGATGTCCAGTGGCAGGAGAAGATGGGTATCTCAGCTCCAGGAGCAGGAGAGAGAGAGTGAGCCAATGAGTGAGAGAGCAAATATGCCTTTCCTCTACCTTACTGTCCATCCAGGCCCTCGACCTATTGGGCGAAGGGGGGATCCTCACCACTTGACTCGGTCGGCTGATTCAAATGCCAATCTCCTCCTGAAACACCCTCGCAGACAAGCTCAGAAATAGTGCTTTACCAGCTGTCTGGAGATCCCATAACTCAGTCAAGTTAACACCTCAAATTAACCATCATACTTGCTCTTTTGTAAGTAGGCTAGGCAGTTTATGTTAAGGGCCTTTGAGGATTTATGGCAGAGTAGGTTGTTCATGAAAGGTAGCTATTGTTGATCATCTTTGAGCTCTTCTGAATGCAGATCCTTTAAAATACTTATATATTAATATTTCTATTTTCATTGTTTCAACTGTTAGATCCAACAAAAATATTTCCAGAGAATTTAGTGCTGCAAAGGTTTTAGGACTTCAGATGCCCTTGATGTTCTGGAGAGCTGTTTTGCCTTAAGTCGTACTCCCTTCCCCTGTTCTGGAGGACTTGTTTGTTACCATTGCCTCTGCGTTATGAACTTGTCTTCCGGGAGCTGATTGGAGGGAGGCAGTTGTGGTGATTCTCTGCTTCAGCAGGAATTGCAAGAGGTCGTTTGCTTCCCAGGAGAGTTGTCGGTAATGGACCCTGTTGGAAACCAGCAGGAATATGAGAAGAAATAAGATTTTAAAAGGATATAGGAATTTATTTTTATCAGGATGCTACCTGTTTTGTTCTGGTTTAAGACTATATTACATTATTTCTACTTAGTATTGCCATCTTTTTTTTTGTATTTGCATTACTTTTCTGTTGGAATCTAGTCGTACTGAAGGTAGAGATGGTTACTGAGCCCAGCCAATGCCCAGTGCCTAGTGGGCACTCGAAAGATGTTAGCCCACAGAGAAAATGATGAACCGGAGGGCGGTAGTGGAGGCGTGGCCCTTGTCATCAGCTTTTCTGGTCATCGTTGGTCTGAGTGTGGAATTGTGTATGTGAAAGAAAATAGCACAAACGTTTCTAATATTTAGTCTGTTCTGAAAAGCTGCCTCAGAATGCTTTATCTTCTTTTTGCCCTTTTTTCAGATTACTGGATAGTTGATGTTGATTTAAAATTTATAGAATTGTCACATAAGTACGTTTTAAAAACTGGAGATAATTAAAAATACTGTCGCAAAAGGGTGTGCTAAAGAAAAAGAATTAAGGTAGTACAAGAGCGCCCAGAAATAAGTGAGATGGAAGATACAGATGAAAGACAAATGCCTCTGCCCCCCGCTGCCTCACCCAGCTTTATTCCGGTAGATGCTACCGGACTGGGTGAAGCTCCAGATAAAAATCGTATTTCAAGCCCAGTGGAAATCTTTCACTCTTGGAAAAATAGTGTATATATTTTAAAAACTTTTAACAATATAATTTATCAATAAATTTTATTTCCTACAGGTATAATGTGAATACAGATTTTTATTGGTTTCGAAAAGTTTATATTAAATTGAAAGTCCTGTGAGGGAAAGATATAATATGTCTTGGTTTTTCTAAAAGTCTGTTGTTTATAAGGACCTACATAAATAGCTTACAGTGATTGTGCTCTAATTATTTAGAAATTGTGTTATTAAATATGTTTTAAATCCACATAGCAGGTTATCACATCCTACTTTGTTGAGGGGCCTCCAGGAAATTATCAAATACAGTGCAGTCATCTTATTCAAAAGGCATTTACATGTATGAACAGACCGGAAGCACATAACCTAGCAAGTTATCTGCTTAGTGTCCAACAGCCTTGCAGGAGTTAAAAGCAAAATTTATCAGACATCAATAGTTTATTGAAGAAATACTCCTTTTTGCTTCATAATTTGCAGAAGGCTGCAACTGTCAGTCATGATGTACTGCCTCTTGAAATTAGTCAATAGAGCAAACAGCAAGAATTGCTGTGGGCAGAAAATAAGCACTGTAATCATGACATAACTGGGGTCAGTGATTTATGGATTTCAATATAGTAGTAGCTGCATATGATTGAAAATTTACTAGGTCACTAGTGCACCAAAAATTTTATTCACAGCCTCCAGGCATCTTTTGAAATGTGCAACAAAATAAAAACCTCTGAACCTGTTTTGACACTGTAGACTCAGTGGATGACATGCCAGCCCAGTGAGTCTCATTTAAATGTAAATATGTCATAAACTTTTGTACCATACTCTTTAAAACGCCAGCTACTCGAAGGGATAATGCCTGTGAAACTGATTTACATATTGAAGTAGTAAAAAAGGACTTTTTAATAATCAAGCTTGAATTCCTTTTTATTTTAAAAGTTGGAAGCTGAAGCTGTTCCTGAAGTATCTGAAAAATATGAAATTAGTTCTGTTCCTACCTTTCTGTTTTTCAAGGTAAGGATAAAGATGGTACAAGAAATCATCCATCTGTAGTGGGCCGTGGGACTGTCTATTTTGTTTCTTTTACCCTCTCTCCTAATCCCTGAACATTAGGCATTGGTTGTTCCTGGCTTTCCACCTTTTTTCTGATAGTCCCATTTTTTGCACTGATGCTGAAGAGGAGGACCATGCCAGTTGCTTGCCAACATCTTGGAAAAGTGGCATGGACTGCAGAGGGCCAGCAGCCAGAACAGGAGCTTCTTGGTCAAAAACCAGACACATGGCTGTAGACTCCCAGTGTTTCCTGAGTTGGATCAGAAGTTGGTTGTTTAGAGCATGTGCCTGGACATAATGGAACATCTGGCTCGTTCTGGTTTGATTAATGACTCTTGGGAAGTGGGTGCAAATCTGCGCTTCAGAGCCATGGGTATTACCATAGCTCCCCAAATACCTCGTTTATACTTAATGTAGACTCATCCCAGCAAGTGTGGGGGAAATCTTTTTTGTTTTAGGTTAGACTCTGATCAGGTGTGACTTTGAGATGTTGCAGTCCTTCCCCAGTATGTTCCCAAGAAAAGAAAAAAAAATTATATCTAAAATTGAGATGCAGTACAGGCAATTGGTAATCAATTTTTTTTTCACTTCTCCAATAATAGTGTTAACTCCTTTAAAAATTGGCTAGAACTATGTACTTGTTATAATTTTGAAGTCTAAAATGTAGAGATGGTGAAGGAATGCCATACATATTCTAAATGACATTTTAAACTTTAGAATTCTCAGAAAATCGACCGATTAGATGGTGCACATGCCCCAGAGTTGACCAAAAAAGTTCAGCGACATGCATCTAGCGCCTCCTTCCCACCCAGCGCTAATGAGCATCTTAAAGAAGATCTCAACCTTCGCCTGAAGAAGTTAACTCACGCTGCCCCCTGCATGTTGTTCATGAAAGGAACTCCTCAGGAACCACGATGTGGTAAGAAGCTGCTTTTAAGATAATGTAAACAAAATGGGTGCTTCACTCCAGTATAGGGTACAGTTGAGATGGGCATGCCCTTTCCAAGCTAGATCATACGTGTTATGCTTGGGTTCGTATACCTTCAGAAAGTTTGAAAGGTTATCATTCCCAATTGCATTATCTAATTTGGTCTTCAGAATTAGTTTGTATTATAGACTCAGAGAATACTGGAACCAAAAGGGGTCTTAGAAATCATTTAGTTCAGATCTGTTTTATATATAAGTTTTGTATTTTTTAATGTAAGTTAGTTTAAAATGAGTCTGTTTTATACTAAGACCCAAAGATAGGAAGGGACCTTGCCCAAGGTCGCCTGGTAGCAGAGTTGGGATCAGGTTCTAACTCCCGTACTGCTCTCTCTGTTAATGGGTCTCTTGCCTGTTTAGTTTTACTATTAGCAGTTTTCTTTCTTAGCAGCCTCCTTTTCTTCACCTAGTTCAGATTCAGCAATTTTAAAATTTGCAGAATTTTCTTAGTGTTTCTGTATCCACTCTGTACTTTTGCTTCCCCTGTTGTCTGTCAGCGTCTAATGATTGTATTATTCGCGAATTGCTGTTATTTCTAGTTTATAGCTGTTAGTAATTTAAAGATTCTTAATTCTTGGCTGATAGTCACTCTTGTTTTCTGTACACATGTATGCTTAGAGTTTTGTCCTTAAGTAGGTTTTAGAGTTATTTGACCCCTCTGGTATTGAGTTTATGTTGTTTTCTTTTTACTATGCCTAGTACACCACTAGTGTGTTGCATAATTGAGCACTTAATGCCTTTTGATGATGCTGCTGAGACTCTAAGAGTATTTGTTTCAACTGCACGGGAGGGAATTTATTAGGATAGGTGGCAGTAGAATTAAGCATGCTATTGATATGATTACGGCATGTCCAGTGTGACTTTATAAAAATAGCCAAGCTTCCAAGGAGAATTTAATTCTAAATTCTTCCCTATAGGGTAATCAAATTACATATTAAGTTATGGAAAAGCCTAGTTTTAAAAATAAAGTTTCATGATGAATTCTGTTGTAAAAGAAGAAATGATTTCCTTTTCTGTTATAGTGCTGCCTGAAAAATTTCCTTGCCGGTGTTTACATAGTGCCTGTTATTTATATGTTGCAGAGCTAACATAGTCTGTGCTAGAGTTAACTAAAGATGGCAAAGACAGTCTCTGTGTGGTGTTATGTTTGTGTGTTCTTCTGTTTTTAATGGGGTTGCAACTGGTTCCCATTCACCTTCTCATATTAGGCATGAAAATCATTTCTGGTACTTTATGTGGCAGCCTAATAATAAGAACTTACTACATCAGCCACATGGATTTTCAGTACCTTCATTCAAGTCTGAAGTGTGGTAGAACTGGCTGTGAAGTGTGGGTGCACCTGTATGACAGGTTATGTGTAGCAAACTTATAGTAAAACCAACACAATATTCTCATCTTTGGGATAGGACAGTGGGAGCCTCTTAGTCTTTTCTGGATGATAACCTCATGAAATTGGCAGGTGGCAGAATTGAAGCTTGGGGAAGGGATGCACAGGCACCGAAGGAGAGG